CCAACCAACCAACCAGCCACTCTTCACTAGTTAGTGTGTGTGTCTTTGATTATTGGATGAGTGCCATTCCCTTCCAGTTTACTGACATCATCACAATGTGCAAAGAATATACTTGGTTCAGATTTGGTGAGATCTCCCATGTGTGTTTTCCTCTCCATAGAGAGGTCATACTTCATGGGCTCTTTTCAGATGCCTTTTGAAGGGTGCCCACCTAAATAATTTTACACTCGTCCTTCCACCAGATCAGTGTGGGATTCTAGCTATTATGTGAGCGGAGTTAAATTATTGCATCATAAGTTATAGTTTTCTTACACTGAAAATATATTTTTGATAGATACTTACCTCTGCTTACATTCTCCACCCTTCCTCACCATTTCCAGTGTGTGTTTCATGCCTAATCTTGAAGTGAAGATTGGGTTCTTCTACATAGTGAAAGTCAGCTGCACTAGAAGGGTGTGTCACACTCCTATTGGTGGAGGGTTGTTGCATGCTTATTTGCATGTTACAGTGCAGCTGTACAACTTCAAGATAGGTGGAAGTATCAAGGCTAGTGGCAAGCAAAAATTGCACATATAGAGAGCAGTAATAATCGAGTAAAGCTGTTGTGTAAAAAGATGTAAGTATCTATCAGAAATACACTTTCAGTATAGAAAAATTAACTTCTACTATGAGAGGAAAAAATTAATTGAGTCAATGACTCCACCTTGGTCTGGAAAGGGTTAAATTGGACCATTAAAAGTTTCCAGAAAGAAAAGATCAAAATCAGATTTTCAACGTCACTTTGTTTGTTTGTTGTAGTCCATTGCAACCAAAGCTCTTGCAAGACAGAAGTAGTATACTTGAATAATCAATCTAGTGCTTGTGTATCTAAAATGTGTTTTCTGTTTAATTTTTCCCTGTGAATAGGAGGAAGATATGATTCAAAAGGTAAGATTATAGCAAGTTTTCTAGTATAATGTTTGAAGAATGAACTGTTGCACATACATTAGTAAAACAGCATTTTCAGTATTACACAATAATGATAATTAACAAAATATTTATTATTCTGCTGATGTCATGGTTTTATTTCATAACCTACCATTTACCAAATTCATTACAAATTATTTATGCCATAAGATATCTTTGATTAAATAGTTATTAAACTTTTTTCAACGATTGTAATCATATACTTGAAACTGACAAATAGAAAGTAAACTTTCATTCTAATACTTAAATCTGATTTTCCACTTTCCATTTGTTTTTCTGTTTTAGATTATGTTGGTATGATATTACTATGGCTAGTGAAACTCGTAC